GCCCGGGCGTGGGGGGGACCTGCTCACATTTCAATTAACAGCAATCGTGTATCTTCGAGGGGTGACAGCAGAGGTGCTGATGTACAACCAGACTTATTTTTATCCCTTACATCATGCAACTGCTCTAAACCAACACGGGAAATTCCTAACAGCGAGCTCTGGGATAAACAGAGCCATTGCAGGAAAGCAGAAGGGTAAGCAGGTGTGTGAAAATGGACATCAGAAACACCAGATTACAGGTTTGGGGTTGTTAGGGGTTTTTTAAATGTATTATAAAAGCAAGAAAAAATTCATTTATTTCACAATCTAGGTCTTTTTTTTTTTTTTTCTTTTCCTCATCTTCGTTTTAGCACTCACTACTACACAGTTCACATACAGTTCTTAAAGACATAATGGAATAGGTACTTCCAGCAGTCTCAGCCTCTAAAATGCATTTCCCCAGAGTGCTTTTTGTTCAGCAAAAGCTTTTGTGATAATGTTGAGCACAGGTCATTTAAAATTATTATTTTACATTTAAACTGACAGGGAATCCCACCCCTTTGAAAAATTAACTCCAGACACTTATGTTTCCACTTCACAGAAGTTAAAAGTCACACAGTCAGAGTCAACTGGCACTAAAAAACAAATGCTGCAGTTACAGTGGAGGAGACGAAGGGATCTATTTAAAGAAGGTACAGCGAGAAGTTGCTGATGAGGCAACAAATCCGAGTTGGTGCATGCTGATACCCTTCCAAATCATTTCAGTGCTCCGTACTTTAAGACCTGTACAACATTTCTCTGGCTCTACCTGTTTCCCAATCTGATGCACAGGTGTCCTTCAAAGAAGCCACCCAGCATTTTTGCTCTCGTACTGGCTGGAGGAGCCACCTTACATCCTTCAGCATCAAAAGCCTTTAATTCTTCATTGACATACTGGTAGCTACAGAGAGATTTTATTTTCATCTACCCCTTCGCAGTGTCTTTGGAGTATTTGTTCTTCCATGCTCTCATAATTCTGAGTACCCAGTTTGAGTCATGTTGAAAATGTATAATTTTCCAGAAGCTGTAGACATATGATTAACTTGATTCGTGCCTCTTTTGACATTTCCAATTGTCACCCAAAATCTGTATGGTATTGAAATGATCATGCTTTATGGAGTACCTTAAGGACTACAGGGCCAATATTACCACTTCTCTAATGCCTTTTGCTTCCCTCGCCAAATATGCATTGAGGAGAGAATTTTAAAGGAGTAAAATAACCTCCAACAGCAAAGTCTGAAAGATCTTCAGGCTAGAAGAGTTTCCTGGGACATGGGATAAGCTGGATGTTCAACTTGCCATGCCAGATCAGGGCAAGGAACTGAGCCTGGGGCACATCACAGATGAGGTCCTACCACGCTCCTGGCAATCACGTGAAGTCCTCCCTGCATAGCGGTGCGTGCACGGGACAGGAAATATCCGTATCACCATGCGTCTTGGCCCAAGGGCTGTGAGTAAACAAGGTTTTTGCATTTGATTTTAACACAACTCTGTGTGTGTGCGTGTTGGCTTCTTATTCTAATTAAAAAAAAAATCCATAGGAAGACTGATTATCATTTACCTCTAATTGGGACCAAGAGACGTATATAGTGACAAATTCATGATGAAAGCAAATATTTTGGGTGGGAAAGAACATCCTGGCCGTTGTGATGAATTCTTTCCATTGCATCAGAACAACATTTTTTTTCGCTCCACCAGGGAAAAGGCAGAAAAACAGAACACCGTCCAAGCAAGCACAACAAAAAATATTCACATCAGGCATGGAGGTTGTTGGGAACTTTGTTCATCCAGAGGGGGTGTGCTGGATTTCCTACTTGAGAAAGCTTTTTTTTTTTTTTTTTTTAAGTTTTACTAGAAAAAGAGGAGTCAAGATTCTCTTAGAGCTTCCTCTGCTTTCTAATGGTTTTGTCTGGAAATATGCTATGGGAAGCTATTCAAACCACCAGTCTGAGAGCATGATGTGAAGATGGCACTGATGAGAACACCCACCAATACTCAAATGCTAGCAGACGTGCAATCATTTAAAGAACTCATTAATCTAAAGAAAATACTTAGAAAGAAACTTTCATAATTAGAATTGGTGAGCAGCCAGCTTTGCTGAAAAGAGAGAGCATTTCTTCTTTCCCTGGTTTCACCCAAGCCTTTGATGGACTACAATGTCTTTGATGGAATGAATTATTTTGCAATAACTTTGGGTACAATTAAGCTGATAATGGCGCTCTCTAAAACGGCTGTGTTTCACAGACTTCCTCACCAAGATTTTGACAGGCAAACAGCACATGGTCACTGATTTGCCTCTGGTGATCTCCTGCTCAGAGCAAATGGAGGAAATGAAAGATACTGCATTACGTCTGTACCTCTTAAGGAACGGCGTTGTGGTACTCAAAACAATTTCTCTTTATCACCTCAGCAAAAGCTTCATTAACATCATCTGACGCCAAAAGGGAAAGGCACTGACACAACAGCTCAGCAGAACGGGACAAAGGGAGCAGAGTTTGCAGCTTACACCTTGAATAAGAAAAGGAGTATCTTTAAAGGACGTTGCTTTGTCTGAAAGCGTTAATTTAACTGCTTCAGGAGGCACCATATGAGGGAGACTCTTCCTCAGCAGCTGTGTGCAACGCCAGTTGTTTTGCAAGGGATCTGCGTTCATCCGAACCAACGAGCAAGCACCCAGCTTGTTTTTGTTGGAAGGATTTACAATTACTTTTAAGTTATACAGGCCAAAAGAGAAAAAAAAAAAAAAAATCCAAAGACGGTTATGACTAAATGGGTTCTTCGCGGCAATGGCAGCTTTAGTCTGTTTTTTATGTTAAGAACAAACATTTCCTTTCATGCCAATGCTCACTGGAAGGGGAGGAACTCAAGTAACAGTGGAAAAACAGAGAACATATTAAATGCTTATGTGCATTAGGAGGCTTCCAGATAAACCCTGGGAGCTAACGAATGGAAAGCAATGCACCGAGACCATCAGTGGACCTGCTATTCCACCACTCCTTCAGCAGCACATGGCAATTGCAGAAACTAGTTATTTACAAGATGCACAAGCAGAGAACTCGTATTACTAGTTATTTACACCCTGGAGAAGCAGAGAACACATGTTACACAGCACTTCCACGCAGGTACGCTTTGCACCATCTCTCAGGTGACATATATTCCCCCAAGCCGTCACGTCTGGTCACCCTGCCATTTCACTCTATTTATCCCCACTTTTTAAGGGCCTCCAAGAAGATCGATGGAGGAGCACAGAGCTGAGCTGAATACACCTCGGTGTCACGTCGGCACCTCAATGCCTGCTCATTAAACACAGCCTCATCTGTTGCTTATCGATCCACATAATTTCTGACTTTCAAATAGGATAAATTACTTTTGTTACTCATTTATTTACCTTTATTTGTTTCCTTTTGAAGGATTCTCTCTGGGTTTAGATTTTTTTAACTATTATTAAATTGCTGGTAGCAATGCATTGGGGCTAGAAGAGAGCTGTGCTTCATTTATTTAATGGGCTGTTCCTCGTTGCAGGCCCTTCTCAGAATTAACAGGGCCACACAGCAGAAAGGGAAAAAGAAAAAAGTCACCTCAAATGCTTTAATGATATTTTGTTCAACGTCTTGCAGCTCCTAGGCATCTCATAGGCACGGCCTTCTATAAATAAAAATTATTATGCTATGACTCATGAAATTTGTATCTGCAGGGAGCTAGGGACTTGGCTTTTCCTCTGGGCTCCCCGGTGCTGTCTGCTGGGTCAATTAAAATATCGAGATTTCTTTTCACACAAAGTCTTTCCTCTCCCTCTGCTTATTCTGAGTGTGTTTCACTCACATCTCCCTTTCACAACCTCATCGCCATTGTAAATCACAGCAAATTAATGTCGATGCTATGTTCCTGAAACAAGACTGCTTTTGCCTCTTGACAACAAAACCTCTAAGCCAAATGTCAAAAATTCAAATGGAAATACAGTATTACAAATAAAACTGTGGACATCTCCTGATAAACTCCTGCAGTCCTAGGCTGATGCAATGTTCTCTCCCTGACCTGCAGAACAGAAATAGCTTCTAATTCCTCGTCCTGCTGAAGTGTATGATATGCTGGGCAATAAGAAGTGAACAGGGGTTATGGCTCTCATAAAATATTCACACCACCGGGTCTTTATACAGCAGTTTCTCCTGAGTATGATTAATCACATGCTATTATTTAAAGTTCCTATAGCGTGGGAGTTTATGTTTCACTACCATTCACAGATTAGATTATGGAAAATTAGTTTCAGATTAACTGTTTGGTTCAGGTAGATTAATCCCCTCCAATGATGCCTATCAGCCAATCGAACTCCTTCTTCAAACCAAGTGGCCATGTCCCTGGGGTTAGCCAGCAAGCGATAAACAACCGGGGAGAGTTTCTCTCCACCTGGCAGTAATCGTTCTGCAAGCACTCTTCTCTTACTTTTATCTAAGAGACATTTATCCTGCTATTTAGTATAATTAAAGCATAGGTACTAATCTAAAGCTCCTACCCAGGGAGCAGTCGTCTGATGGCAGCAGATTCACAGCATGCACAACAGCCTTAATTTCAATAACATGTTCAGCTGATGAGGAGGAAGAAAAGGGTGAGGTAGGTAATGCCGTCTCTGGGAGCTCGGGATGCATTCGCTGCCAAGCCAGCGTGTGCAGGGGACCAGCACAGGCAATGCCCAGAAGACAGGGTCCTTTGGCCACCGTTTGTCTCTGGTTTGGATGGGAGAGCTGCTGCATCTTTACAGTCCAAAGGGACACCATGCCACCCTTGCTCCAGCTCAGGGGTTGGAGCCCAGCACAAGAGCCACTGGCCATTTGAAGTCACTGCTAATTCATCTCATACATTATTAGAAATGACCAGAAATACATTTGGAAACACAGGACACCACTACGTGAACACTGCTACCCTGTCAAATTAGGATTCAATTGATCATCCAAGACAAAGGTCAATAGTTTGCCAACTCAACTTACCTCTTACAATGATGTTGGTGGACTTTTTCGCAGGATTTCCAACATTGTTATTGGCAATGCAACTGTACGTGCCAGCATCTTCTGATGTGATGGCAGGTATCGTTAAAGTGCCGCCGTTCAGGACCGTCTTCTCGGGCAGGATGCCAGCAGACCTCACCCACGTCAGGCTGGGGGCTGGCTCCCCTCCTGTCGTCACACAGACTAAGGTGATTGCTTCTCCAGGGTTCACCACTATTGGGTCATCCACAAGAAGTTTAATTGAAGGGGATGCTGCAAAACACAAGCGGAAGAGAAAGGTGTAGCAGGGCTACGTCCGTGGCATTGCCCAGTCCTGAGAAGCACGCTCATGCCAACTGGGACGAGCAAAGGCACTTCAGCTACCGCGCTCCTCGCATGACGAAGGGTGCTCCCTGTGCCGATGCTCCCCCTGACACCCCACTTCTCACCCTGCTCTGCACCCTGCTCAGCTATCGTCTTTCACCTTGCTGTCAAACTGCAGATGAGGATCTATGTATGGACAACCCCACAGCTCTGCTTGGGAAGTAACGTCTAATATATGGGACAGGTGCCAGCACACTGGATTTTAAACCCTGAAAGAAAGGAATTAGTAACAATCTTCTTATTTGGCATGGAAAGCATGCTGCTCTCGTCAAGTCAGATCCTACCCGTTGAAAACCAGCCCTCTTAATCCACCCGCCTCCCTGATGACCTCCTTGGGACTTGGCTGCCAACTGAGATGCATTTGTAGAGTTTGAGGTGGGTCTGTTGAATCAGGAAGAGCCATCTCCCTTGGGACAACATCTCCATGCACACCGGGAAACTGAAGAATCCAGCACAGATGCTTTTTTCCCTGCATGGACTGTGCAACCTGCAGCTCACCGCACCAGCAGACAGCGTGGCCACGGCTCCATCTCCTCACAGACACACGGGAGAGGTCCAGGCTTGGCCCCTACTAACTCCCCTACCACGGCCAGGGTGACACAGGCTGCGTGACCAGTGGCAGGGGCTTTGGTGGGGCAGGACCACCATACCAGCCAAACTATGTCACAGCACAGGCTAATAGAAAGATGCTGCTGCTGGTGGTCCCAGAAGGGAGAAGGCGAGTGATTAAAGTTCATTCTCTGTTCTTACCTGTTATATTCCATGAAATAACTACATGTGATATAAGGGGAGCAACAGAAACGCTCAGTATGAGGGGACAGGGCAGCGCAATCCAGTTTAGATGCTGGAATTCAAAATCACAATCTGAGCTGTGACATCCCCTGTCATTTGTGTTGAGGGACCCACCCGTGCTGGATTCGGGCTTTGCTTGAAGGCATACCCTAAACCACCTGAGTGATGAGCCAGTATATAAATACACATTGCTAGTACAGAAAAAGCAGCAATGCTAAATAAATCCAGGCATAAAGGTAAAGGACTGAGGTTCTGGGCAAAGAATAGCAGAAAATGTGATAATAAAAAAATGAAAGGAAATAAAAGTGTTACATCCAAAAATCATATTGCTATCCTCATTATTACAGAGATATATTCTTGTGTGTTCTGCTTTCTATATAAATCTTATTTCAATATTAAAGGAATACACACTAATCGCTAAAGGCAAATACAAGAGTCAACTCTAAAATCAGATTTTTCTTTATTTGGAGTTCACTCAAGAGGAATTAACTTTCTCTGCATTCAGAAGCTGGAGCACAGGAAAGGGAAGCACATCACTTACACCTGACCCAGCACAGCGAGAACAGGCAACCCCCAGCTGGGGAAGCACTTTAAGAGAGCAGGAGAGCCGAGGTTAACAAGCAAAGTCCCCTCTTCCAGCTCCTCCCAGCTTGGGACCCTGCACATGCTTCCTCGCATAAACTCCTGGGTTCATGTAACCAACTTAAAGGTGAAGAAACTGGGTGCATGGATAAAAATACAAACCAAATGTCAACACTGACCACTAACTGTGCCAGCATCTCTTTGCTCATGTCCTCTGACCTCATGTTCTTTCATCAGGTGATGCATCCATCAGCTGATGGACCCCTGTTTTGGGATTAGAGGTATGAAGCTGGGCACTATGTCGTGTTTCATGCTGAAGCAGATTTTGCATGGGCAAAGGAGGCAGAAGCAGGGATCCAGGTACCCGCTGTGCAACTAGAACTGAGCTCCAGACCCATAAGGTCATCACCAGCCAGGGGTAGCACTCAGCTGGCCCCTCTTGCTCTCTCCCTCCCTCCCGAGTTTAATGATTTTTTTCTGTACAACTCTGGCAAGGAGCTGCTCTCTGCTCTCACTAAACATCAAGTCATGAGACAGGTAACAAGAGAACCACAAATAATGCTTCAAAACTTAGAACAAAAGATGAAAGCTCCAACAATGTCAACCCAACCTAGTGGTGCTGTTTACCATAATGGCCTCATAATCCTCCAGATGAAAGGGGACCCTTCGCCATCCTTCAGGTAGAGAGACAAAGATAGCAGCTGATGTGATAAAAATGCTGTGATACACCCCTTTCATCACAGCACTCAAAACAGTAAGTACATGAGAATTATGGTTTGCATACAGCAATTTCTCTTTGCTTACACCACACATTTCACTTAACTACAACCTAAACCACTAGACAAACACAAACAAAAATTCAGCGATACACTCAACTACTACTATTAAAAGCCTGCTTTAAACCAAAGAATATTAGGAGATTCAGAAGGGGTGTTAAGGTTTCCAGCAAATGAAACTCAGGGTAGCATAAAAAGGGTCAAATATCTATTAGGAATAGAATACGAATCCACAGCAACAACGAGCTATTATTTTGATATTTCTCTGCTTGAAACCCTATAAATAATCTGCACCATATCACAACGCACCAATAACACAGAACTTCTTATTTTTGCTTTATGGTGCAACCGAGGATAGAATTGGGTCTACCGCACCGCTTGCCTGATTTATTGTCACATGCACGTTGCCAAATTCTGGCCTAGGAATGGAGAGATTGGAAGTTTCCTGGTGGTCACTTGGACTTTGTCCTTCCACCACTGAAATAGCCCCAGCCATCCCCACGCCAGCCCATCTCTGAGAGCACAACCTCCACGCTCGCTGCAATCAGCATTGACCTCTCCTCCTTCCAGCCAGGGATGGGGAAAGGTGGTACCCAACATCCCTCTGCTCACGTGCCAGACACGAGCTGCAGACCCATGGCTCCTCCTCACAGCTCTGACTGGCTGTTTCGGCAAGGGAAGCGGGGAGAGAAAAAAGAAAGAAGCAGGGAGAGTTAGCGAGGGAACGACGGAGGCAAATGGCAAAAATCCCAAATGCTCGATAACTCCAGTGATGTGCTCAGGCACGGTCGGGTGGCAGAAAAGTGGCTTTAGCTCTAAGTCAGAGAGTGCTTGTGTTCACTTCTGGACATCAGCCTGGACCTAGATGTGGAAACAAACGGGGCTAAATCACAGGTTTAGTACAGGAAGACCTGTATTAATTGCCTTGGGTTAACTAACAGCATGTAGGGCTTCTGCAGGTCTGTTTTACAGGATAGCTCCTCTGTTTGACTCCAGTCAGAAACGCTCTCCCCTCCCAACCCAGAGGAACACCTCTAGCTGCTCCCCAGAGGATGCTGCAGCAAGGCAGCTGCAAACAGCGGCCTCTCCCCACAGGTTGGGAACGCAAAGCTGTAGCGCAGAAAGGAGCAATGAAGGCACGACGACAAGGCTCCATGTAAGAGTAGAGCCAGTAAGCCCTGGACTGGGCTGCGCAGGGTTGCTGCAGAATCCCTCTCTCTCCCAGATTTTCTGAGCAAACATCTGTTAGACACAAAGTTTGTGGCAGGCTCGTGTCTGAGCTAGGGAAATGGAGCTCACTATCATGCGAGATCTTCTCCCTGTTCCAGTTTCAATGACAGCAAGAGGTACTGCCAGAAAGGGGATTCCTCTTATCTACCTTGAGCTATCTTCTGGCAAGAACCTTCCCCTGTGGTATCCATCTCTCCCTGCTGACTGCAGGCAGAGCCCAAAGATTAGTTTAATCTCGACGGGTAAGATTTAGATGGCAGCAGATAGGTGACATCAATGCCACCCTTAGGATGATTTAGAAATGCATCAGGAGCCTACAGATGGCAATGGGCAGAAAGTGCCGTTTTTAACAATGTGTGTGTGCCAACCTCCCTCTGATCCCAGCGTTTTGCAAACCCTCTTAGATCCCTGCACTTTCAGAAAACTGAAATTTTGGCCTAATCCTCTCTCTAAAATGGATTTCTTGTCTCTTATTTATTTGTAAACTTTTGGGGCTAAGTACCCCACACAGCATAAATCTGAACTGTGTAATTCATCGCCACACATTTTTTTTTTGGTCCAGCATGATGAAAAAATGGAGCAGGCATTTATAAAGATGACAAGATGATCCAGAGCAATTATAATAGTTGATGATTATACCAAAATATTGTTGAAGGGTTATTAAAACTCATGCTTCAGGGCATAAAATGTTATATTTTTTTTCTGGAATGGGAGGGCAGACTATCACATATCTGCCTACTGCACACTTTTTATACACTGTTCTGAAATGTCTCCTGCTGGCTCTTGTTAAGGACAGTCGTGAGATCTGATCCAAATGGACAATGCATGTGTTTATACGGTCTTTGCATTTGTAAAGCATCTAGCGTGATTGAACTCCCACCAGGAGACCCACGCTGCAGTCCCAACAGCTCAAGCTGCGATACAGCAGGAAATAATGTAATGGAGTCAGAAGGAAGAGGAGATAAAGACTTCTCCAAAAGATCTGACTCTCATTAAAATGACATTATTGTAAAAACTAGTACATGCAATTGTGTTTTCCTGGCACAAGCCTGAAACCTGCTGGTTTTGTCTTTACAATATATCTTGTTTTGGGGAGTTGGGCTTCAGCCTCCAAGATACAAGTGGTTTTACCCAAGGGCATCCTCATCAACTGCGGGAGCAGAAATACAAGAGTGAGCCAAGCTCCCTTCCGCTTCGACAACCCAGCCTGCTGTCCCGAAACACGGCTGGAGCCAGTCCTGACATTTTGTTCAGTTTTTGAAAGGCACAGAAAGATAACCTGAGCTCTTTGAGGCTCGAGAAGACCGTCACATCCTTATAAACAAGCTTTCACACGGTTCCAGCCCAGATCATTTGAAAAGGTAAGTATTGCAGTGACAGTAAGGCAGCAATTTATGCCTCCAATCTTGATTTTATTATTTAAGTTTTACAAAATTTAGTTTCAGCAAGCAAAGTACTTGGCTGGTCACCACATTTACAGAGGGCTCTTCTTACATGAAAGACACTTTC